GGGGGGGGGAGGGAAAAGCAGTTTAAAAAAGGAAGGATTTAGAGTTTAATAAAGACTTACTTAAATTTAAAGGAGTTGGACAGAGACCTGCCAGACTCCTCACCAATCCCCTAACCATGCTGTCTTGCATTCAGAGACCCAAGTGCTCAGATTTCCCAGATCTGCAGCTGCAGGGCAGGCATACCAGGCAGACTGCCTTGGAGCTGGGCTCCATTTGCTTTCACAGAGAATTTCAAAACGTTGAGATTTTGTTCCAAATAGGAACTACCTTCTCTACTCAGCATTAATAATTTTCCCCAAAACCCAAGCATTAAAACTCAGTAAACACACTAGGTTTTTGTAATCCTGAAAAGGATTAAATAGTCACATTTGCATTTTTCCCAGACCTTTAAAATAGCCAAGTCTTTCATGATCAGCAAGGACGTGCAACTGCTCTGATTTCAGTCATCATCATTCCAGAATCTGTTTGTGCCATAAACTGTATGAAACTGCTGAAGTATATTAAATGAAGGATATTGGAGATTACATTAAAAAATAGTTGCGAAAATTCTTTCCTGCACTGCAGGAAGTGTTAGTCTTTAATATTGTCCCAAATATAATGCAGTTCAAAACAGGCTTGTTTGTATAGACTTGAGGATTTTTTTTTTTTTACTGTCTGCTGGTACTTACAGGCACCCTTCCATATGATTAAAATGTACACATATAAATATAACTTTTTGTTTTCATAAATGGGGTTGTTGCTTGTTGGTTGTATGCTTGTATTATTTATTAAAATAAAGAGCTTGCCAGGAAGGGTGGGGCCTGTTTATTGGCTGAGATATAAATAGGGGGTATACTCTAGAGCTGGAAGAAAGCTTATGGGAGACTGTAAGAACTTTATTGTACTGTTATGACAAAAATACATTTGTCTAAAAACATAAAAACCTCTAGCTGTAAATAGCTTTGTTCACTGTCAACATAAAAGGCAAAGGCATGAATTCCTTGCAGATTTTGAAATAGCTTGCAACATTTTCTGTATTTTTATATAAATTTAAAAATAAACAGGCATTCTAGTCAGTGAATTTCTTGATGTTATAAAGTTCATCATAGTGAATAAAAATAAATGAAAGTGACATTAAAAGAACAAGTAGAGATGCAACTACAATGTTAAGTTCATAATGGCCTAAATAAGCCACAGCAAAGGCATAGAGCATGCCTAGCCTTCAAAATCCTCTCCCAGCATTTCTCTAACCCTGGAGATGCTTGCATTCCTTTGATGTAGATCCTTGTGATTGATAGGCTCCTCTTTTTGGACGTGGTCTTAAAAACTTAAGCATCTACAACACTATTTTGCATCTAACTCATATCTATAATGTATTAATATTCACAACTAGACTTGCCATTATCATCAACAGAACCAATGCTGGGAAGCACTCTCCCAGCACCGTTGCCACCTCTAGCTTGCATAAAATGAAAGCAGAGGAAGTAATATATCCTATTTAACCACTTATCAGAAGATTAGCATGCGTAGGTGGGGGTTGAGTACACCTAGGTAGCTCTCATAACCCAAAGTTTAAACAAAGGGCAAGAACTGAATATGCAGTCAAAGTTTTTGACAATCCCCAGCAAGATTTTTACTTTGATACAGTAAAAGGCGATTATTTTGAAAATATTAATTAAATTGAACTGACTTGATCTTCTCTGAGAAACTTCTCAACATCTCCATATCCGGGCCCATATTTGTGTTTAACAACGAGTTCACACCACCGATGTCGAACCTTTGGGAAGAGAAAATAAGGAAAAAAAAAAAAAACTGTATCATATCTCTGTAATTAAGTGCCGGTAAACACAGGTTTCCAACATTTTTTTTTTTTTTGGCAAATGGGGTAGCCTGTGAATAATAAAAGACACTTTAATAGGTTAACTCCTGGTGAAACCCTACTATTTTAAAATAAGAGCACAAAAGGTTCTGTTTTTAAGGGCAGATGCCATTTTTCCATTTTCACCAACCAGTCACATGCCTTGCAACACCATTGGGTCAGTTCTGCTACTCTGTATGTGTATGTGTGCGTGCGTGTATGTGTGTATGTGTGTGCGTGCGTCAAATAAGGTTGAGTGGGTTTTAAAACTCCAAAATACCCAAAGACAAACTGTTTTTGAGTCAGTAAACAACTCTGTATATCTATCTGCTGCAGATTTGCAGCATCTTCACCTCAAATTGCTACACTTTCCAGTCTGCTTCACTTTTCCGGTCTTTTTTTTTTTTTTTTTTTTTTTTTTTAGCTGGGCTAGAGGTTATTTCTTTCATAATGTTAAAAGAGGTGGGGTCGGGAGAGGGTATTGCTACAAACATCTGGAAGAGCCACTAGATACAATTAAATAATTTCCTCTATATAAAAATAAAATCCAAGAGATTAGAAGGTTTAAGTTTACATATAGTCCTGTACCAATACTACACTCATGCTAAAAGGAGAAAAATTAGATATAAAAGCATGAAACAGAGAGCTTTCAGTGAAGTAGAACACAGTTCTGCCACCATAGCTTTGCCAGGTACTAGATTTTTTTTAAGCACCTTGCAAAGGGTTTAAAAATCTGTCTACACTGAAGGAGCTGGACTGGGCTACCAAATGCACATTAACAAATATAGTTATTAAAAAGCTGTAATGAAAAGTATGGAATTTTTCAAAAAAATTACTATTGAATAATATTTATATTTAAATAGTGGGAACAGTATACCTTTGAAATGCATGCTTTTTTTTGTTGCTTTTAAATTACTGACTTTGTTCTTAATGACTCTTGTGTGACATTGGTGTCATCTTACACTGCACCAAGGCTTCCTCAGTTGCAGGCAGTGATCATGCTAATGTTTTATATTCCATTATTAGCTGAGTACTGACCCTAAAGGAAAACAGTTGAGTGCAATAAAACCTTCCCACCCCCTGCTCCTTCTGTTCCAGCCTTTGTTCTTACTATCTTTCAAAAGACTGGCTCCTAATAGTAATCAGCTTTTGTATCAGCTCCTAATAGTAATCAGCTTGTAGTGTTTTTCAAAACTGAGTCTAAACTCTGCTATTATCAAGTAATTGAAATCTACTGATAACATTGAGAAGAAAAGTCAGAAAGGAAGGGAAAAGACAGACACTCACAAGTAAATTGTTGCTTTTGGAAATAAGGGGAGTACTTTCCTTGTCATCCTAGTCCATACGAATGTTACACCTCAAGAAAGAATTTCACAAGCTTATGTAATTAAATAATATTCTCATCAACATGATTAACAAGTGGTGAATGCTCAGAGGTCCTGGAAGAGTCCTTTATGAGGTAGCTGATACTCTTTCCAGCTGATCTCTTATATAAAATTGTTTAAACACAGCTTCCAAATGAAATAAAATGCTGAGGGAATTGGTGTCTGAACAGAGCTTGCACTCACAGTACCCAAGACACTGAACAGTTAAAATGCAATGCATGGTGGGGAATGAAAGCTGTCTCTTAAAGATTGTTGCTGACAAAATAACAGCTGTTAAGATTCCTGTATTTGGAACCAGAGCTAAATCCACAACAGTAAATAGTTTTCCAAGTTTCAACTCACTTTGCTGTAGACGCCCACATCCATAATGTAGACCCTCAAAACCCTACCCAGCTGCTGCTTCTCCCAGGAGACACTAAACATTCCACCACTAAGGCCTCCTAGGCAATCCAGCTTTGTTAGTGGGCATTTTTCACAGCACCAAGCAGACCCATGCCTGGCCTGTACCTTCAAAGTTCACACATTAAGCATTTCCTTACTTCCTCATTTACCAGGTGACTTAACCAAACAGAACGCAGAAACATTTAAAATGTTGTACATCTTCTTCTGCTACACATTATCATGCGCAGCACCTTCTCTGTCCTATTAACAGGAAAGACCCTCTTATGTATTCTCAAAGCATGTGTGAAACAGATGAGGAGGAGAAGGAATAGACTGTGGTGCTTTCCCATGATCGCTGCCCTTCTGTATCTCACACTCCAGCAGTTACAGCACCCATCTGTGAGGTGAGCAACTGAGTTCAATTTCCACATCTGCTCAGGATCTCACACTGTGTTCAATTGGAGTATTTCAACAACTAGACAAACTGGATTCTGAGAATGGGGCTCCCTCAAACCTCCTGATAAAAGCTGCTTTTTCCCGTATAATTACAATATTTATTGATCCTAAAGGAGAAAGTCAGAGAATCTGAGCTTTTTATAGTATAAGGCACCTAAATAACTCTTAAGTACTTTTAATAAGAACCTAGGCACCTGGCTTACACAGTGCAAAAGTCAGCTCATATAACTTTTGTGGATATGATCATAATACCTACATAGCAATCAGAACAAAAGTTCTCAGTATGAATGTATTTATGTGTTTCTACTTCTTAACATACTAATGAGTATATGTCTGCCTTATGTTTTTCAGCATTGTCTGTTTATCTGAATCCCAACTGCTTTGGAAAATACAGAACAATTAACCTGTGTCCACTTCCTTAGATCATTCCTCACTCCATAGGGTTCCCATTCTTGATCTCCTTTAAAATAGTATAAAAGAAAAACGTTTATCTGTTGAGTGAGGTTTGAGACTTTTTTCCTCTTCTTCTCTCTTTCTTTCTCAGGGTCTTTACAAATCCTGGAACATACCAAATCTGAAATGCTGGGGACTTGCCAGCTGGAGCAGAAGCAACGTGTCTGTTATCCTCAGATTACGCGTTTGCCTCCTGTTTTCCAAAAAGCCCCAAAGGCTCTTGCAAGAGAGCAAAGTGCAGGAGAACCAACTGTTATCAAAGTGCTTGTAAAACTGATGGCACAGTCAGCCCCACCAGCTTTCCAGGGATATGCCGCAGCAAGCAGTGAGCAAAACTGAGATGGGCTCTAAGTGCAAGGGGATGTGGTCAAAATTGGCACTGAAATCTTTCAAGACCTGGACTGAAAAGACCTTGATTGCTCTCCTGCCTTCCCACTCACCCATGCAGTGTGGCTTGTAGGTTGCCATATATTGCAACTGCAGCTAAAAGAAATGCAGTGGCTTTTCAGATACATGCTCTGCAAAGAAGTAATTTTTCTCATATAATCCAAGTCCTAGACTTATACCACAAACATGAGAATTTTATTCGCATAAGAGGAAGATGGAAAAAAAAAATCTTTCAGTTCCCAACTTCTCATCCAATCATTACAGGAGGAGAAGTAAAACGGGCCCCACAGCTCTGCAGCGTAACGAATGCGTCATGTCAACAGGCACTTTAACAAACGAGTATCAAAAGGAAATTTTGAAAACTAAAAGTAGCTTGTGGTAGGACTGAGCTAACCATACCGCATCCTGTGTATGCTCTTCTTGGCTTTTCTTTTCCTCCTAGGAGCAAAGACTCAGTGGCAAAACTAAGAATTCATTAGTCTTTTCCGAATTTTCTCTTTGCACGTTTCTCTGTGCTCTTCTGCCTGGTTCAGAGATGCACACCATATGTCATTTTGGCTGGTTACATCATAAACAATATAAACTGAACCTGAAAAGCAATTTACAGCAACCCTTCCTGTTACTGCTGGCAGAGAGTACAAACTACTTTGTCTGGCTCTTTTGTATGCTCCAAAGCTGAAGTAACACCTGTAACGGCCCACCCACCCACACACGCTCTCACTGGTTTGGCAGCTGCTGGGACCTACACGCCAAAGTTGGGAACACTATTTTTTCAGCCTCAGAGCCTAGGCTCAGAGTTGGCCTTCTGAGTCCTCTTAACCGATGCCTGATATTCCCTGGGATGAGGAGTGGTGGCTCAGGGGGCTGGAGGTCTGCTGGGAGCTCAGGTTCCTAACGGATCCTCCTCTCTTGGAAATTGTTCTTTCCTCCAATGCTGCTTTCACAGCTGGTGCTGAGGTTTCCACCAGCATCGTTTTAAGTTGGATGAAGATTGTTGCTATGAGTTTTGCAAGACACTCCAGAAATTGCAGCATATTTCAGAGGCACAATTCAGTACTAGGTCATTGTCTGAAGTATGACGTTTGAAAACTGACTGTTTCATAAACATCAGCCACATCAAGTGCTACGTACTGATTAATATCTAGATGAACTGTCTTGGAGGGACAATATGGTTAGATAACACTAAGCTCCCACCTTTAGGAGCAGCAGGTCATACAAATAATTCCCTGTAATTTCCTTTTAAGAAAAATACAAGATATCGCACAATATTGCTTGTGACTCAAACATTACCTGTATTTTGATGGAATGCAATGGAAAATGTTTAGAAACAAAGATCACACTAAGTTAGTCTATTTTCAATGAAAGTCCTTATGTTTTAACAATCTGGGCCAAGATCTTTTGTTAAGTTATTCTTGAAGCTGACTGAATAAACCCATTTCAGGCATCAAATATGTGGCTTGATTTTCAAAAGAAAAGCTCCCAGGGACATATCTGAAAAAAAGTATTTTAAAACAATTTTAAACAGGTTTTGAAGTAAAATCGTAATTTTTCATATCTGATCCGGGCGTTAAAATTCTTGGCCGATTAATTTTCTCCTCTCCCTCACTGCAGTGACCAGACAACCCTAAAACAAACATCCACACAGAAAGCTTTATAGGTTATATTGTAATAATCTAGCTTGGTAATGTTCTCAGTCATACATATGCAAGCAAAAAGTAAATATCTTACTTCTGAGGCCTACAAATAAGATTTAGAAAGCAAGTAACTTAAACCATGTCTTTATTAAAAAAAGAAGAAAAAGAAACTAAAGAGTTGTACTAAGCCTTTGGTCTGCAGAATGGGAGACTAGCTTCAGGG